AAATATATTTATTATATAGATATAAATTTGCTGTGAGAAAGTAGTTTTCTTTCTGATAATTTTTGCTTTTATGTGGCACTTTTATATTTATGCACAAGTCTACAAAGTAGGCTTATATCTTCCGTTATGCATTCTGCTGCACTAAATGATAAATCTGATCACTACTGCTTCCTTTTCACTGGCCAAAGCCTTTGTTAAAAATAATAAGTATCTTACTTTTTCCAAAATTTCTGCTGAGCTTCAGTTTTGCCATACTCCAGTGGTTGAGTGCAACCAAAAGACCAATGAAGTAATGCAGGGAGAGAAACACACTACAATCCATGGCTATAACAGTAGTCTAAGGGAGACAAATAAAACTCCAGAAATTTGGAGAGGATTTAGGAATTTATCCTTATGTCAATCTGCTGGATCCACATATGGAAAGATTTTTATAGCAGGCATGGAAGAGTGGGTGTCATGGGTTTTGTAGTGATTCAGCACAGCAGCACATAAGCTCAATTTTAGTTTCAATTAGTTCAATTAGTAAGAAAAAGTTTGGTGTTTTTTTCCTCAAAACTTTAATTACTAAAAATATGCATCCTATTGAAGTTAGTAGGTTATATACTACAGCATCTTGACTGATCAATGACATATCACAGTATGCTGGAAATGCCCTTTTCACTGAGTTGCACAATAAAAGCATATTTTAAGTCTCAAATACTAGCTTCTTTGGACTAAAAATGAAACTTATTTGAATGATTTCATTGAGCAAAAGGAAAGTACTAAAATCAGTGTTCGTACTGAGGTTACTGGGAATTAAACCCAAAAGAGGATTGAACAGACTCTGAAAGGAAAGATGTACATGCTACGAAGACGCACAAAGTGCACTCTTTTAAAAGGAAGAATGGCTGCGTATGTAGGGAGAAACTTGTTCATAAGCCAAGTTTTCTACAAGACTGAGCAAGCTACCTTACTTTCTCAGTTCTGCTTTCAGAAAATTGGAAATAAGGCAACTACGTACCTTTCCCTTGCGTGCTTTGTTTTTAAATTAGAATCTAAGTGGGGCTATTTTCTGCTATATTGCTTTTAGACTACAGTAGTAAGACAAGTGTCTTTAGGGATCTTCAACCATCACAATATAACAAATAGCAAACAACAGTAATATTATGCTTAACTTGGCCAGTTCTCTTTATGGCTCTGAGGAAAGCCCTTGGGATTCTCAAGAGCTGACTGATTTGGATGGACTGGTAAATGTAATAAAACTCAGCTATGACTTCACGATCCATACAGGCCAGACAAGGGCTGGAGCATTAGTAGAGGCACAGCTCTGCTGAGTACGCGTGACTTGCCACGAGGCACAGGGAGGCAACATGTACCGGGGCATGTGCAATGGCAGTAACTCCCTCCTCCTCCGCTTCCCAAAATCCCATGACTAAGACAATTTTCTGTATCTGTCTGATGCTGGAAGGGTATGTTTTGACAGCTCTTCAGTTCTGATCATAATTTAACTAGACACAGTGCATATAGGCATAAAGCCACATTGATGCTGGAGTTTGACAGGCCTTTTACTATTGGTTGACTTTTTTCCCCCCCTGCATAATCCTTTGTGGCCTTTGTTTCTTGCTTAATGATGATTCATTTTACATACTTATGGTACTATTTATATTTCCCTTTCTTGGTTCATTTCACAGCATTCACCTCTAATGAGCCAGTCAACATAGTACACTTTGATTTTCAAAAAGCTTTCAGAAAGCTCCCTCACCAAATGCTTCTAAAGAAACTGCACATATTGGATGAGAGAAAAAGTCCTTTGAGGGATTAGTAACTGTGGAAAGCTGAGGGGAAGGGAGGGAAAACAGTAAGAAGGAAAAGTTAATTTTTGCAAAGAATGAGTGTTACTAAGAAGATTTAGTGACATAAATGGCCTACCTCAAGCTGGGTCATGTTCTGTTCAATACAGTTGTAAAGGCTTTGGAGTTAATAAGAGTGTGAAAAGCTTACAGATATTTCAGTGGACTATGAAGAGTTAAAGTCTTCATAAAGCAGCCTGACTAGGCAATAAAATGGAAGATGAAATCCAATATCAGTAAGCATAAAGCAATATCATTACATGTGCATTAGAGATGGATAAAACCAGAAGTGCTTCAGCATTGCATCATACCATTGATCAATCATTTTATGAAAATATTAGGGTCCAGAAGGTTCAGAGAAAAAGTTTCAATTTTGTCTATCAATCACAGATACATTTCAGAACTATTTTTGTCCTTAGTGATGACCTTGTAATTGTCATCCTACTGATATAATTCTGGCTGCATTAATGCAGGACTTTAATAAAATTTGGTTTTTTTACTGTTTTTTAAACTTTTGTCACTTTCTGTCTGGTGATCAGACTAAGTATTAATCTTTTTTGATTTACCAGAAAATGGTTTTTTTTGAGGGATTTTTGTTTGTTTGTTTGTTTATTTAGTTATTTAAGTTAGCACATAACTTCTTGGTTTCCTGTTATCTTGGAAGCATATTTAGAGATAATGTCTCTTAAAGAAATCAGAAATCAGCATTACAGTTGGCTGGAACAACTGGGAAACCAACTACTTCAGCTCGTTCTGTAAAAGAAGGTTCCAGAGCCCCCTTAACTGGTGGTGACTAGCTGAGAATAGAGGTATGTAGCTTTCCAACAGGTGGAAATAACTAATGGAGGAATAACAACATCCCAAAATTCACAACTAAATTGATGTCCTTTCTTGTCTTCTCTCTTCTTGCAATGCTTCCAGAACTTTATGTATAGTCAGTAGAGACTGCTTATTTGAAATTGATCTGTACATTACACTTCTGTAAGAAGACACACCTCATCTTTGTATCGGGCTATTTGTGCTAGCCACCTTTTGCACTGCATCTCAGAAGAATTCATTAGTGACTCAGAATTACTGCTGCAGAGTCCCATCCTGCTTGTTTGTATGTATTGGTAATGCTATTATACAAGCACTGGTGGTATTAGAGTACAAAACCCCATGCTAATACAATTCTCCCTAATGGCTATACTTTAATAGTGAACTGCAATGAATCCCAGTTGAATCAATTTCTTCATACTCATTGTAATTCCTTCTGACCAAACTAATAATTGAATCTTCTTCCCCCCCCCTCACTTGCTAATGTACGAAATACAGAGAAGAATGGTTTAGAGTAATGTAGACAAGAAAAATGCTCATTATGTAGGTTGAAGACTACATATCTTCTCCACTCAAAATTAGCCACTGTTTCTCAGGAAGATTACTTGGGAATGAACCACAGGTGAGGAAAAAAAAAAGTGCTCAGAAAAGCTCCAGGTAACATTTAACCAGTGTAAGTAAACTATTCATGTATTTAAAATCAGGGGGTTAACCCTTCTAAGTGACAATATAGATTTAAAAGACAAGAATGATGTGAAAGAGTACAAAAAAATGCCAACTCTGCTCTTCAGAAGGTGACTGAAGTAATGATACTTTGAGGTCTGATCTCATGTCCAGCACTCTTCACGTCCAGTATAAGACTCTTAACAGAGTTATAAAAATGTATAAGATGGACTATATTATAAGGGGTACAGTCTGCAATTCTGAATTTAACCAATGCATCATAGTATTGCTTCAAAATAAATCAGACTTTAAGCTTTGCAATCAGTGTTTTCTTAGGTGCTTTTCAGGGTTCATAGTGTTTTAAGTATGAACCTGTACTGTGTTTTCAAGAATAGCATTTAACAAAATTTCTTTATAATTTAAAGAATATACTGTGCAGGAATTTTTATTGTTGCCATGTCAAAACTGCTATCAACCATAAAGGAAAAACTGCATGTATTGATTTTTTGCTGCAGACGTTAATTCTATGAGGAATTCTTAAGTGAGGGATGGAGAGGAAAGGAAACATAACTGGAAGATTTATAAATATTGGAGGTGATCTACATCCATACAGGGCTTACATCTTTGCCAATCAGATCCTCTTGATTTTCCACAATCCCCCAGGGAGCTATACCGATGGTGCAGATCTTCCCTCGAGATTTTGAGGCATGATCTTTCAGTGCATCTCCAACATGCCGAATGACTCCTGAGAAAGAAACAACATAAACTAGAAATTCATAATTATATCCTTTTTGTTCATTATGCTATGGATTTAGTATGGAATTCTTTTTTTAGGGAACACCTATGCATATACTTACAATTAAGTAAAGCTAAGAATATATTCCTATTGATTATTATTACAGTAATACTGTCAGTCCATTGTATCTAATCTAAAAAATATTAAATGAAATAGCAAGAAAAAATTACCCAGCTCTAGAAATAAGAATGGAAATATTCACAGCTGACTGTAACTTGTTTTTCTGCACTTGTGTTCATGAACATATGTGCATGCAAGCATTTGTATCCTTGCCAAGCATAGAAAGAAACACAGGAATTACCCCTCCCCTCCTAAAAAAAAAGAAAAAGTGTAGTTTGCACACAAATGTTCACTTCTGTCTGAATAAAGGATGGAAATCTGAAAACATCATTACACTACTCTGTGGCAAGCTATTCTACCATGCTTTCCAAACTCAGTCACCTGAGATAGCTTCCAGCAGAGAATTAGACCCCCCCACCCCCAGAGGATCAGTGAGAAAACAGAAATTAGAACAGAGAGAATGACTGTTCCCCAGCTCTCTTCCAAGGGCTTTCTGATAATGCTCCTTGTATGCTTTAGGCCAGCTCTGTCAGTGTTTCAGTGGTATCTCTGTGAAGAGAACAAGTGCCATTCCTCCTTACTGTTCATAAAATATGTTTTTTCACCTGTGTATCAATAACTATTTTTGTGATGTGTATGCACTGAAGCAGAGCTGTGGATTTACTGTGGATGTTATTTGTTGCTCAGTTTCTGTGCTTGCTTCTTGTTCAGATTCCACAATTTCAAGATGACTTGATTGGAATAACAACAGTCACACAATAGATGTGATTTTAGCCATAGTTTTTCTGCACTGTAAATGAACCATGTAAGAAAACCCCCCCACAATCTAACAAATCCTCTAAGTCCTGGCGTCTGATTTACTTCCTGTGGTGGAAAAGGGGAAAAAAACCCCCAACCTGTACCTGCTATGAATTAAGCCATGATCCAGCAACCCAAAGTATTCAAAGCAGAAAACTCTGTCCAGACTGCAAAAACTTCTGCTATTTAGATTAATCAACATTCTGCATGACATGAATATTGAAAACAACTTCAGTCATTTAACAGTCATGGTTATAGCCAGATATGCACCATCCCTGTCACATCACTGATTCTCAGTCCAACAGCAGTATTTCAGGATTTTTCAATTATACCTTTCCTTAAGAGAAATCTGTTTGAAAAATTCATCATCAACTTAACAGACTGTACTCAGAAATTCTCAATTTGTACAATTTCACATAGAGATAAAGCAGCTAATTTTCACCTACACAGTTTGAAAACCTAGCCCCGGAACAACCAACTGCTTTGCTCCAGAAATCAAAAATAGCAATGAGAAGTAACTCATAATGCGGAACTGGTTCTGGAATTACAGGTTTTTAAAATAACACATAGCAACTTGAATTTCATTGTCTTGTCTAGGTAGATTTTGATTACAGGAGAAAAGTCCTCTTCAACAGTAATTATGTTACCTTTCCTGGGTCATTTGTATTGTTTTGGCATTTGTAACTGTGATGATTTGAAAAATAGTATGAAGCAATCGTGCATTTGCCAAATCCAAATGTTATAGTCAGCCCTTGTTTACATAATTTCTGTAGTTTAATTTCTGCAGTTTCTGTGGTAATCCACTGCAAGGAGTGTACACTATCTATAGTTTTCTAATGTGCTTTTAACTTAAATTTCTATCTGTCTTTGCCATTGTCACTGTAAGAGTATTTGGCAACTAACATAACTATTATCATCACAGTACACAGGTCAACATTCAACCTGATTTTCTTTCTTGTTCTGCAGAGATGTTTTGGGGATATTACCTATGTGTGAGTCTGTCTATTCATCTATCTAACACTCCAGAAGCTATGCCTCTTTTTTGCTATTTGTATCGCTGCTGTGATAAAACTGAATATTGTTTTAAATTTGATGTGCTCTGGAAACCAAAAAGCCCAAGACTCCTATTAAGCATCCATATTCAGAAATGTAGGAGTTGATCCACAATGCACTAAAATTAATGCATGATAGAGTGATTACCGTGTTCTCCATAGACATGGATAAGGGGATACACTCTGTGAGATTGCTAAAGCAATAAATTACAGCTTTGTTACTGCAGCAAATGAGAATGACATAAGAATTTACAAGTACGTGTCCTAACTCAAAACTTTTTGCATTTGTCTCTAGTGGAACTCTTTGACTGTCCCCTGACTCTCCCCTCCTTTCTGCCTCCTTCAGTGAGGGTAACTGGGAAGCCACTGCTCAACCTTTTTTATCTCGGGACCTATGGTTTGCAGCTTATTCCCAAAACTTACATGCTGTCTCCCAGCAGAGTTGGGCCAGCTGCTATCTTGGGTCATTAGGACACCCATATGGTCTGTTACAGATGTTCTTAACTCTGAATAGGAATGGCAATGTTATCGCTCTTGCTGCAGGGGTAATAGAAAAAAATTAGGTCAAACTGTCTACAAGAAAGGAAAACCTGATACTTATTCACAAGAAAGTTTTCCACCACATCCACAAACCAGAACCTTTTTTCCTTTCATACTTCAGGTCATCTTATAAGATAAAATAAAGGACTTTTCTGGATGAAAATGTTGTCTCTTTTATGCAATAAGCATTTGACTTCCTTGGTTTCTGGTTAGTAGTCCCTCCCTGTAGCTTACTGTTGATCTTATAAAGTCTTCACTGGCAATACATTAATATAATTGCCTCACAGGAGGCTTTCTTTTCAGCTCCTGAGTGTACTTTTCATGCTTTAGCAAAGCTCTTATTCCCTGGTTGCTGCTAGGCTGGTATGAACTTGGCATTTTCTGTTTTGCACATAGTACAGCCAACACTAATAAAATAAAACATGGAGTAGTTTCTTAATCTCATCAGTCCCAATTTTTTTCAGTGATGAAATCTCCTAGATGCCACTGTGCTTTCATTTCAATGTTGCTGTTACCTGTGTTAACTCCTCCAGTGAATATCCACGCTCCAGTTGTCATAGCAGCCTTAATGAGGCCTTTTCCAAAGACTTGCTTGAGTTTTGGCTGAAGTTCGAAATTCTGAAGGCCCCCGTGCACAGAGATGAGAAGTTTAGGGAGCTCAAGCTGCCACTCTTTGGTCATCAGATGCAGAAGAAGGTCAGGCTTTGTGTCAAAAGACACACGTACATACTGCAGAAAGAAGGGCAGTAGTAGAGAAAAAAAATTGGTTATACTTACTCTTTCCTAATACATATGCTTTACGCTCAATAGATTGCTGAAAAAAGGCAAACTTTATGACAAAAGCACTAACTTGAATGATTTTTCAAAAGTTAGGAAATTAGGAATAATGGAACACTTGTAATTCACAGGCTGGACAATTTTCCTTTATTTAGGAAATTAAGTCATTACTTGTTTCAATATGTTTAGCAATCCTTGAAAGATAAATGTCTTTAATTTATGGATGCAAAAATTGGAGCAATAATTTAAGTCATCTGCCAAATATGATCAAAGCAGTCAGAGTCACAACTGTGTGTTCACTAGTATCTTATTTTCAAACTAACAAAATCAAATTCTCAAAAGGTAGGAAATAACAGAAAGGAGTTCGCTTGTTCACGCACACGTAAGTTTAAACTGAGCAAGAGTACTAAAAAGGTACTTTTCAGATGAATGAATGCTAACTTATGACTTACAGACTGATTTTTATAGATTCATGAATTTGCCTAATGAGGCACAGAACCCTAAAAGTGCTTTGAAACACATGTACACATTTCCAGTTATTGGCTCTTCTGTGCTACATCTGCAGCATTTTGCCCCAAGGGAGATCATGCCCATATGTGTGTGCTCAAAGATAACAACTGTCTTTAAAAATTCTACAGCACTACCATGTTGCACACATACCTGTCTCTTCCAGACAGGCCTTTCTCTCTGGGCTCTTTCTCCTGCTCTTTCTGTTGCTGATGCATGAAGGGTTTCATGAAGCCCGTGACAGGGCAGATGATACTTTTTTGAATTCTGGTTGCATAGCAGAAATGGGCCGTAAGAGGATAAAATTCTTTCTATAGTTGGTAAGATCTGGAAGGACCGTCTTAATTAAATAAAATATGTTATAGAAAGCTACTCATCTGTATAAACTTCTGATGGAATCAATGCACACAGTGTTGTTTCAGAAGTCTTTTCCTTGATGGGTTGTCAGCACAGTTGTCACATATATAATACAGGCACCTTTGCTTTCAGCCAGGGGAAGACCTAGTTCTAAATTATTTATTGTAACATGCCAGGTAGTGTAACATCCACCTATATTATGTAATCATTTTGTTCCTTTTTAACATGTCTAATCAGTATTTCTTGCCAAAAGACTGTTCTTTTTTAGTAAATCATATCACAGTAAAGTGGACTCCTTTCTATTTGAATAAGAAATAAGGACTTGACTTTTTCAAGATGGTATTGCTAATAGACAGATTTCTTTGCAAGAATGGATTGTTGCACAGTGAACAGCTTCTGGAAGCAGAAGCCTGTTTGGGCAAATAGTCACAGGGAAGCAAGGCGGGGGCACAGCCAAATGGAAAGCTGAGCAAGAACTTGGGAATGCACGTTCACCCCAGTGCATTAGCAATGTCCTCTGCAGCCGCCAGGCAAATTCATAACAGCTAATGGACAAAGAACATACAATATTCATGTCTGGCAAGAGCATAATGTATCCTTGAGCTCATATATACATGAACTTTACTCTCAGTAGCTACTCATTTAATTTTCTGTGTGGGAGTTGAGAAAATCTTGCATGGCATCTGATCCCATCAGCCAGATAGTGAAGCTAATAATTTTGATAAGAATTCGAGGGCTGCCAAAGTTTTAACACACCAAAGGGGTTGTAAGGAGACTGATCCTTATTCCCTTTGCTCTGCCTTTAGGGAGAGCGGAGATTGCAAAGGGCAACGCCTTGTTAACACTGCAGGCACTAATAGATAGACAACAACCTTCAGGGGGCCTACACAAAGCCTCTGCTGCTCAAACTATGGAGATTATGTTTTGGGATCATTGGTACCTTACTCTGTTTTTGGTGAAGATGGACTGGGAGTTTTAAGAAGATAATTAAAGTGAGTTCATATTAGTAATGGCCATACAAATTTGCTGAAAACAGAGACCATTGCATCATCTGCGACGATATAAAGATGAAGGCACAAATGGTGTCAGATTTGTATTATCTAATCCAGCCAGTGACTGTTTTTTTGATTCTTTCACATTGTCTTATACTCCAGAATGTGTGACTTCACTGTCCCTATCTTCTTAAGCCTATGTATTAATTGGCAAAAATCTCTTTCATTTTCTTATCCACTAAGACCTCTGAATTTCAATAAATACAAATCTATATAGTGAATCACAAAGTTAGAAGAAATATTTTCTTACATTTATTTGAAATGTAGACATCTTTTATTACAAACACCTTCTTGTTCTTTATACTGCAGGCAAACCCTCTTTAATGATAAGAATTCATTTTGCTTTTTAAAGAGGAAATTTAAGCAAAAATAAATCTCAAATTTTTTTTCATGTAAATTAAAATTTAAATAATCATGGATAAAAGCTTTCTTGAGAAGGGCAATGGTGCCAAAACATCCTAATTTTCCTTCTGTGCATAGACCTCAATTTTTACGACTGTCTGATTAATATTTGCTGTTATAGAGGTTATTTTCAGTGTGGTATGCTTGGGGTTACTCTTTTGCCATTACTTAACATGTTAACTAGCAAGTACAAGAAATTTCTTTTGTCATTACTTTCAAAGTATGCATTAAATTATGAATAAACACTTTCAAGGGCATTTTTGTCCGTATTAAAAATTCATTTCTTTCAATCTTGAAGCAGAATATTTGGCCTTTTCAGTTTTTGTTTAGAATCTTAATGAATATTTCTGCTGTTCCTGAATTCTTTTGCTATAGCCTCTAGAGGCAGATTTAAAATTTAAATGTAAATCTAAGCTACACACAGGAAGCAAAAAAATACAGTTTGGAACCACAAAACCTACAGACCAACCTGACTGACATCAGCATAACACTGTGAAATGATAAATCAAGTTCAAGCTGACATGCTCATTTGATCCCTAAACTAGCACAGAAGTAGTCAGAAAGGGTGTTATTTGATGCCAATAGATATTTCACTTTTTTATCAAGCTGTTTCCTAAAAAATAACTGTGCTCATCATCAGTCAAACAGCCAGATGCTTGCAAGTCGGACTCTGATGCCCTAGGGTAAAAGCTGAAGTTCCTGAGTGGTAAAATTACTACTCTGTTGCTCGAGCACAGCTGTCTCAGTAAAGTAGGTGGTGAATGATTGCAGATGAGAGCCTCAGTGAATAAAATAGAAAGATTTAGAATTTTATTGTATTTCTTCAAAGAAAATCCCTTCAGAGAACATTTTGTGATCTGCAGTCTAACGTTGTTCCTTTGTTTCTCCTCTCAATGGAGGTATTGGGTGGCTATTTCACCTACCCTAAATAAGATTCCATCACTGCAGACACTTCTTCAAGCTAAGGACGGATTCCTTCAAAGTGTGATCTTCACATAAAAAATAGACCTGATGTAATCCTCACTGAATTCAACAGATAAACTGTCACTTCTTTGACTGAAACTGGACTGGTTCCTTGTAAGTTAGTATTTTTCTTAACATCTTAAGGCCTGAACCAAGTTCCACTAAATAGTCAGTGGAAGGACCCTCATTAATTTAAATGGACTTTGGATAGATGTTTTTCTGTGTTAATTGCCCTTTTTCTCCATGTAGGACACCATCTTTTAAATTCTCTAAATGTTCTTTAAGCATTAATTCACTATAACAAAAGCAGTGTTTGCTGCATTTTTCATGGTTTATGCAAGTTACAGGATTCTCTCCCTCTTTTTTTTTTCTCTCTCAAAAACACTGATGGCTTTTAAGATCCTTTTTACACAGTTTTTGATAAAGCTCAATATATTTTAAAAGCAGAAACATACCTTTTTATGTGGCTGATTTCCAAATATCCTTAATAAAGTGTAAATTTTTGAGGATCTGAATATTAGAAAATCTGTCCAAGAAACTGTTTATGTAAATTGCAATTCTACCAATGTTCTTTCATGTTTCCATGCACCATAAGAAAGGTTAAGCTTGTAACACTGAAGCAAACTTTATTTCTTCAACAGCTGCAAACATATGTTAGCTTTTTATTGTGCATATTAAATGTATCATTGGAATGCATTCAATTATGAGCAATGTATTTAACTCACTAAAGCTTTTCAAACAGCCATTTCTCCACCTAGTCTTGAAAAACTGTGATCAAAGAAATTTCAGTTCTGTAAACAATGGTCCTTTAAAAAAGGTTGATATGGAATCCAGGAACACCAATTAATGAAAGAATGGTAAGGTTGTTTTTGTATGCGGAAAGGCAGATAGTAAATTTAAAAAATTGGTTTAGTTTTGACACAAGTTAAGTGCAAAATGCATCACAGCAAGGTTGTCTTACCTGGTCCACTAATGACCAGAATCTATTTTGAAATTGTTCAGAATATTGCTCATAACTGGAATGGAAGCACTTAGATTAGTTTGATAATTGCTCAGAGTTACAGTAATAAATTACAAGTATAGAGTTAGATGAACTCACCCATGTTATTCCTTAAACAACTAAGACACAACTGATATAAGCAGATCACATTTTATTAATTTTCCTTTTTTTTAATCCACTGATTTATTTTAAAATCTGTTAATAAATTTTACATATCTCTACATTCACTCAGATCTTTTTACAGTCTAAAGTGAAAATTGGCTGTAAAAACAATGCAAATGTGAATGGCAAAACTGTTAAATGTGTTTCTTAAACATTAATGGGATGAGCCACTTCTAAAGAAAATATGAGATTGATAGAGATCTAAAAACCAGTCTTGTTGCAGGATCATCTGTGGTTACATGAAGACCAAAAGAAAGGCTTCTTTAGTAACTGATCGTGTTAACCAATGTTATCTAATCTCGGTTATATGTTTCTATATAATCTGCTGCATGCTCAGCTACTCACATTATTGATTTCAGTAGCTTAGTGAAGCCCCACTGAAGGTGTAACTCAATGGTATTAGCAAAATTCATGCTGTTTGAGAATTTTTGTTCTATGTGGCTGTGGAAATGAAGTTAATGGCACAGTGTGTTCTACTGTCATTATGTAAACCTACATTGTCTTTTCTGTTTTGTTCAAAACCCGTATGTTTATTATAATTTCAGTGTAATTTTCATTTTCACAGCTAAAGATGCCACTGTTAATTGTCTGGTGGCAACTGATACAATATTGTATCACTGCATTTGTAGCTTGCAAATATACATGCAAAGTATATGTATATTTACTATCAAATTTGTATATATGTTATTAAAATCTAATTCTGTTACTTCCAATGGAGGAAATAATTATCTGTCAGTCTTACACGCACTAATCTGTTCTATTAATTAACTACCGGTTTCCCAATTAGAAATCTGAGGTTATGTTTTCCATTAATAAATCCCATCTCATTCCTTTTAATCTGATTCAGAAAAATTTACCAATTTTGCTGTTAGTACAAACCAAGATAATATTAGCCAGTTCTATGTTTCCCTCGCTTAACAATTTTCATGTGTGGGCACACATTTCAGGAAATAAAGTAAGGAACAGGTGGGGAATTTTACGCCAAATTCTTCCCCTGAGGCTTTCTTTGATGTTGGTCAGCTTGCTAAATCTTGCTGCTTTATAGATTTATTCTATTAGCCAATAGGCACAATATTAACCTACCATGATTGTCAGCAAAAACCAGCTTGTATGCTATAGTGATATTTGATATCCAGGAGCTAGAAAATAACTAAGAAGTAGCATATTTTTAGAAAAGAACAAATGTCAGTTTATCAGGTTCTCTCCCTTTTTTCTCTCTCCCCCTGCTCCTGTTGGTGTTCAAGCTTCTCTGCTTTTGGGTTTGAAAATATATTATCTGAACCAGAATGTTTCCAAGGATTATTATGTATTTATTCCTTTTCCCAAACCTTATTTTTCAAGATAATTTAAGTGGTCTTTTTTCCACTCTTCTGCTGGCAAAATTACTTGGTTGCTTTGACTGAGCAAACTCTTGGCTTTCACAGAAAACTTTTGATTTTGGTAAGTTTTGTTTATTATGGGAAAGACCTTGTAACCTTGTAAATTCAGAGATAAGTTACATTCTTTCTATTAATAAAGCTGCAACAACTAGTTAGGCTATAATCTACCCTAAAATAGTGATTGGGGATGGAAATATGACCATAAGGACACCTTTATACTGTTTTCAGTGACAAACACACCATAGTATAACAAAGCTCTTTATTTTGTTTCCATTTAAAAAATGCACAATTACTGGTTATGCTAATCTCCTTATTTGTGTTTTTGTCATATGAAAGATGTTTTTCTCATTGGTGGTAACCAAACAGGGCACCCATTAAAGAGATATTTAGTGAATTGTTTAATTTGAAGCACTTTTCCCACTAGTGCGATGACTGAATTTCTGGAACTTTTATAGACTTATTTAATTCATGAAGAATTTGTTTGTTCCCATGGTTTAGGTGGAGTTTAGTGACTATGAATAGATGGTAGATGCTGCAATTCTAGTATGTCAAAATAAACCCAGAGTTTTTCCAGAAATAAATGTTTCGTCTGTATTTATGCATAATTTTTAACTTGTTATTTACATGTCTCAGATTCTTCATGGTTTCATTCCTGACTGCACTCTGTGACAAGATTTTTCTTTCCCTTGGCTTCCAATTTTACCCCCACAGTTTTGCTTCAAGTATATTTCTTTGAGCACACAGCATATACCTTGGAGCATCTTCTGTTCTCTTATGGCGTTGTGGTAGGACACCAGAATCCCAACAAAGACCAGAAATCCTCTAGAGAAATTGGTATCAACAGCTTTCCTAAACCCTTCATCATTTCTTGGCTGCCTAAGATTGCTTTTCTCTGGGCAGGTCAGTTTATTGCTTTATAGTGATCTCCAAGGACATCACTCAAAAAGTTCTAGTGATTACCTTTTCTCATCAAGACAGATTTAACGCAAAGTATCCATATATGGTTAATAGCATGATGATTACTGTATCTCAAAATCTTTCTCAGTTTTGGTGTAAAGCATTCTGTTTTGTTCCCACTGCTTGTGAAAATACCAACAGCACAGTTTGGTTCATTTCAGTGCTGAGGGAGGTGTCAATTTATTCACACTAAACAAATGTTATTTACTGAATCAGAATCTCTGTCTAGCAATGGCCTTGCAGATTTCTAGGTGATTGGTTATCAAATGAACATAAGGTATCTGTGATACTCTCAGAGAAATTACTTAATTTTCTATCTGTTTCTTGGTGCAACAGAGAACCTTTTTTTCTGGTTTCTATCAAAAGACGCCATCCATCTGGGCAAACAGAACCATTCACTCAAGTAATCATTCCATCTCCAGCACCCGTGAATCCATCTGAGGAAAATATCTGTCTTTTACTAGCATAGTACCTGAGCTCTTCATTGTCTCTAGTCCATCTAGTACCACAACAGATCTGAGACCTGTTGGAAGAGTTCAGGCAAAGACAACGGCACTGGGTTGCTGGGCAGGTTATTCTGCAGAGCACCCAGGGGTTCTCCTTCTGCCCTCACTGCTGCTCAAAGCAGTGTCTTGGCCATGATGTGCGAGGTACACACTGATCTTTCATTCCAAAAGTCCCAGGTTCTGCAGTTTGGATAGAGCCAGAGAGATTCTTCCTTTCATATAATGCCACATAGAAGAAATACATGCATGGGTTAGTGTGGGTGCTGGAAACATCTCTCCTACTTAGTGGACCAATGCCTTCAGATTAATATGCTTTGGTATCTCTTCATGGCATTGTATTATGATCAAGTGATTTGCCTAAGCAAATCTGTGGTAGAATAGGGATTTCCCAGTTCAGAGCTTAGACACTTACTGTGCCTCTTATTTAATTGAAAGATGAACAAATGTCTAACTGGTCTATCCTCCAATGTATATCTGGAGGAATATTAAAAGAAGTTTAGTGTTTTTCAAATTTGTCAGCCTTGCAGACACACCTAGCAATGGGAAACTGTAGCTGAATTTTAAAGTTATTCAGAAAAAGAGGGATTGCTAGCCATTGGAAGAAAAACGAGATAGCAGCACATTAGCATGCCTTCAGTGTTCATAAATGTAACCACTCTTATGCTGCACTTCAGCTTTCACAGTTATTTCTGTTCACCGGTTCTTTGGCACATGATACATAAAAACATATGGTATGGTCTTACACTAAATAATACTTTAAAATGAAGTTAAGAGAGAATACTGTTTATTCTTTGTGAATGCCTTTTTTTAGCTAGCAGCAATATTTGTCTAAGAGAAAAAGATGATTACCATGGCTTTATTGGAGTGGCCTCCTCCTTGGAACTCAATGGTTCCAAAAGCATCTGTTGGGCTGAGCTGCGTGTGCTTGCTGATGGACCACTTCTCCGACTGGATGTCATTGCGAGTAAGCCTGCTTTCATTTTTCTCATTCTGAACAGTGATGTTTGGAGTCAGTCCAGCATGTTGACCTATTAGACGCCCACAGCAACACCTATGATATTAAATAAACAGAAAACTTGAGTCACATGCATATATAAACTGAACAGGGACACACACTCTCTTAAATGGCCTTCAAATCAAAAACCCTTTTTTTTCTGCTGACCATTTTCCTGCTATCTGAAGCCTCTACTTGTGCAAGTACCATAGTACAGATATTACCTTTTCTTTCTATGAACTTGTTTACTTTGGACTGTCCTATATTTCATTAAAATCATATTCTAAATATGTACAAAATGAAGTTAAAGAACACTTTCTTCTGTCTTCAGATGATATCAGGCCAAGTAATCAGCTTTTGCATGGACTAGCACACATTTTAAATTGGTGGTTCACTGCAATTATTTTCTTTTGATAGTATTGTGGGTCATACATCCAATTTAGGTAAATATTCAAGGCACTGAATATTGAACTAAGAAGATAAGGAAATTAAACATAGATGCTGATCCACCTTTGATTTATCTTTTTTTTTTTTTTTAAATGAAGTAAGTTTCACGTAAACAAATAGTGCCTATAGGAATCCATCACTCCAGATGCAATTGAACCACTTTCTGGTCAAATAACTCTTTACAAACCATTTATATCCATATACATACATATGCACACACACATATAGAGACATTTTCTTGCAATTGACTTTCATTTTTTATGCAAGTAGCATGCAATTACCTATGGGGGTCTTTGGTGCTGGGTATGATATGAACACATTCTCTCTTGTAAAATGCTCTTTCTATCCATGATTTCTGTGCCTAAAAAAAGAGAAAGGAAATGCTGTGAGGTCTGTTTGCTTATTAAACACAACTTATAGTACAACTGAAGAGAAACTTCAAACATAAAAAAAAAATTCACTGACTTTGCAGATATGCAGTGCACAGAACACATTTTGCACAGAGCAGACATTTTCCATTAGAACTATGTTTCCCTTCTAGAGATAAACACTCAGCATGAGCTCTAAGATTGTTGTCATAGTCATCAGCCAGACTTTGATGCTGTCATCTATATTCTCATAGCTGGAATCACTAGAGAAGAATTAATTAAAACTGTAAAGCTTTCTGCAAGGTAGAGAAAAACCATGCCTATTCATTAAAAAAAACTTTAAAAAAAGTCTATTTCCATTTTAGTGATATAACTAAGTCAGCTCTAATTAAAAAAAAAAAAATCTCAGAAATTAGAAAATAAATATCTCACAATAAAACTTACAAACCATGATTCCAATGCATTTTTTTAGACAAGTACTGAGAATGCTGTTTAACATGGAGCCAGAATATACAGTTTCATATGTGGACATCTTAATGAAAAAAAAAATAAATCTGTTTCTCAAAAAAGACACAAAAAACTTTGCTACATTCTACATTAAGAATCAGATAACTAGCTGATGTAACCTCTAAAACTGACTGAGTCAAATGAAGCTATGCCTGTTCATAACACCCAAAATCTTCCCCTACATATTTGCAGGATCACAAGTACTTTCCTTCAGCATAGTCTTAATTTTCAGATACACAACAGATCTTTTAAAAAGAAAGATAGATAGGTAGGAAAGAAAAAAAATAACAAAGAAGAGACTGTCAGAGTTCTGAAATCTTTTTTATTATCCATACAGTCCTCACTCCATATAATATGAATTCAGGCAAGGCCTTTAAAAAATTCCTCCAGACAGAATTCAATTATTTTATTTAATAAGGACATGAGTTGAAACTTTCCTTTAAAAATTAATTTCAAACAGATAATTTTTATAAAATGTATTTAAATAATAAAATTACGTAACAAAGCTATAAATTATTAAGTATGACAAAGTTATCTGAGAGTTGAGTAATGTGAAATAAGCTTTAGATAATTTAAAGAAAATCTGAGCATCTTGCCTCTATAAAAAGAGAAGATACGAAATTGCCTTTATAGCATTCCTTAATTAACTAATGTTACCTTTTACCATGCAAGGTTAGATAGTAACCTGTCTATTACCTTTATTAACTAATGTTACCTAACTATCTAATGTTACTATTTGTCAACTCAATTTGCATCTTGGTTTTCATGTTTAAACCCAGAAACCTGTGTTCCTGGGACGTTTGACAATCATTGTGAACTGTGGAAATTTATTGGAGTCAACGAATGTCAGTAGTATGAAGTACCATAGTAAGAATTTCTAGCTACAATCATTACTTATCACTCTCAGTACATAAAAAGTTATTCTTTTGCCTTTTTCACAGAAGATAATCCCTTACTGGATCTAGTTGTCATTCATGTTATATAACAGTATTTTATCTTTGCTCTACTTGCACTTTTATTTGAAAAATCTGCTAGACTTCATATTTTGTAGGAATGGCAGACACCCTAACATGACTTTTACAGTCAGGGAAAAGAAAAGTTTATTAAAAACATTAAATAGAACTGTATTTGATTATTTTTCCTTACTGTACCGAACAGAAAGTTAATATATTATAGAATGTGGGGCAAGGTTTGTTTTATGTTTAAACAAAGGACAGTTAAAAGAAATTCTGAATAATCTAATAAAGATTTACTTTACATAGGAGAGACTACCTTGAAGTTCTAAATTATTATAACTTCTAAATGCTTACAAGCCTATGAAGCAGGCAATAATGATCATCATCGTCACCACAGCATTATATATTATATAGTCACATCAGCTTAGAAGTCTAGCGCATCATTGAGTACAATTTACTAGCCTTTTCAGGCAAAGAAAGGCTTTTTACAAACTAACTTTCTAAAACTGTCAAGGCATCCAGAGTGAACTTTATGAACTTCATTTGACCCTCTTATTGCAGAACTTTTGTAGCTAAACTATATGGGAAAATTAGGAGTTTTCTTTTTGTTGAGTGTTGCAGAGAAAGGAAGTAAGTTACACTCATTATATAAGTATTGCAATGCTAACATTTGAGATTATATACTTTACTGTACGGACCACACATTCTTGAAATCTCTCCCCTTTGAGCTCCAAGAGTTCACAAGCTTTCTATACTGCCCTCAGAAGACACACACTCATAAGAAGCTGCAGATTTATGAATCCCTTTGTTGTATATATATACACACATACAGTAACTTTTTGACAAAAAAGGAACACTTATAGAATATTGACAGTTTTATCTTCATGCTTGTTTGAACACTAAATACATGACTGCAATATCCTTTATCTTCTCTAGAAAGCATGAAAAGCTTTTATAAGCCAACTTTTCTTCCTGGAATCCAAAATCAGCTCCTACTACAGAGCTTACATAGCAAGTGATTATCATGTTGCCAAGACTCCCTAAAAATATCCTTTATTAAATTTCATAATTTTTGCATACTTTTCTGCAAACAATTTACCTTGGTGAGTTTACTTACTACATAGGCCTAATGTATCTTTTCTTAAGATAGATAGCCATTAATTCGATTTCTCTAAGCCTCAAGATCCAATACAAAAATGTGCCATAACAGGTACTGCACTGAAAACTTTTTTAAGTATAGAAGTAGGCTTTCAAAAACCGAGAAACTGAAATTTAAAATTTGTTTCCCTACTCTTTTTCATAGTGTCTTTGCAAGCTGAAAAGAAACCCAGCCATGTCAATAACTTGAATTTGAATTTTCATCATATTTCTTCAAATGTACTATTGCAAAATAATAGTCTGATTTTAGAAGTCCTTTATTCACATCAGGAAAAAAGACTTTCCAGCTTTTAGATCTCAAACAACATACTATCCTACCTGACAGAGTCAGGATTTACTCATTTCATAATTCCTTGTCCTACCAAACTAAAAAGAAAACATCTTGTTTCACTTCCCCATGCCAGTTATCTTTCTGTGAGAGAGATCATTTGCAATGAAATACAAGGTTCAGAGGTATAACAAATTATGTTACTTGCCATAGAGTCTTCATTACAAAATTAGAATAACTTGAGGAAATCAACACATTCATAACAAAACTGCCTGCAATAAATTCTCATTTATAACATGGATTAATAAAGTAATAAAAAGTTTACAAAGGTATAGCAAAGTATTTTCAAGACTAGTAGAGCAAGAAGCTTATCTTCTCTTTCTCTTATTTCATAAACACCCCTTCAGTATGAATTCATAAGACAATTTCAAGGCCACAGTGCACTCCTAAACTATATGCCACACTGACACTTGGATTTAGTTTACTCATAGTTTAGGTCTCCAGGTTAAGTCTCTCTCTTTATTAACCTAGCTGTAAAATCCCAAGAACATTTTTTTCTCCCTCTTTACCTGAGCATCAAACTTGGTGTTTAAGTCTGTCCGGAGCAAATTCTGCTGTCCACGTTTCCCTGTGGCCGATCATTGCTAATAAGAGACTTGCGACCGCCCCCTGAACAAGGCGCCCAGTCCATCCGCAGCGCAGAGATCTGAGAGCGAGCGAAGCCCTTGCACCCATTAGCTGCTCGGAATGTGCTGCTGTGGGATTAGCCTCGTTAAGGGTTCGGTGGACACTCACCCGCAGCCCCACAACACCGCTTGGTTTGAACATCTAATCTGATGCCAAAAGAAAAACAAATCCCTTGCGAGCTTGGATTTAACTGGCAGAAGCCTTGACAGGCTTTTTTCCCCCTTCTCCTTTTCCCCTCAGTGAGCGAGTTTGTGAAAGTGTGATAAGGTGCTCTGCGTTCTTAAATTCAACCCAGGAAAACAAATCCTTCAAAAGAAACAGTGTACTAAGCTGGAAAGAACCTGAGCACACAAGAGAGACTGTTAATCTCTGAAGAATGAAACCAGTGTGTTTATTGGGTAACTGTGAGAAATCTATACACAGTTGAAATATATTGCAATTAATCAACAATGGCATTTTTCCAAAGAAACTGGGGTTTGCCACTGTTTCTCACCACAGTTGCTGCACTGTAGTGAATGTAACTCTTCAGAAAGTCATAAACATAAACCTTTGTCTTTCAGAGACAAGCAACTGCATTGTTTTCAGCTTAATTAAAAGTTAGTAACTTAAAACACAACTTGAATGTTTACAAATTTTGGGACTACTTCTTTACTGTAGCCTCTTGATATCAACACTGAAGAACAACATTTTCATATGAACAACACTTAGATTTTTTTAGCACATAGCAATTATATGTGTTCGATTACTTCAAGAGTTTTCCAAATATAAAATATTTTTACACCCATCCCCCTCCCCCCCAAGTTTGGATGAATTCCTCCCTACTCCTACGTATGCATACATACTCTCCTTTCCTTTTCAATAAGGCTGCATCTAATGCATGGAAAACATTCTGTCCAGCCTTGGCACTTATGAATACACAAGCACTAAATTATTCTGCATTTACATTAGGTCTGATGAGCCCAGGATGGGCAAGGCTGAGCATATGCAACAACTTCTAAACTTCTTATACCATTGCACACGTTGAGAACCTCCTGCTAGGCTGGCTAATCCAGAAGATTTTTCTTCTCTCTTGGCTCCCTGAGGTTTTTTTGTGTAAAATACATACAGGTATTTTATATGTAATGTATATATGAAGTATGTACATATACACACTCTGTATGCACATATATACACACTCTGTTCCAGCAAAGCTGTGACCTGTGAGATTTCTCTGCCACACAATTCGGAGCAATACAGACCATGTGCACATCTTGTGAGACCTCTTTAGCACAGGATGAGACCAGAGATAGTCGGTGGAGAATGGCAAAGGTGGAGGAAGTTGCAGTATCAAGAGAGCAGCCAGTAAACAGCTCAATGAATTAAACAATATGACTGGGGAGTCAGCGGGAAAAGATTGCTTGCATTTTAACACATGGGAATTTGGTTTTGTTGAGAGGGTGGAGAAGGAGTGAGGGAAGGAAAGGAAAGATTTCACATGACTAAGATGTGAACTGACTAAACATCCAAATTTGACTTTGAAGTGAAACTTCAGTACTTGGACTTGACAAGATTCTGGAGATTGTTCCTGGATTCAGGTTTCAGCTTGCAAAGTAACCTGGGGCAGAAGCCACAGCTTTCGTCTTAAGAAATCAACACAAGCCACAATGGCCATACTCATTCTCATATGTCACCCAGCGGCGCTGTGAAGGATTTTTTGTAGACAGGGACTTAGGTTGAGCTGGCATATGCCCCTGATGCTACAGGAAATTGCAACTGTCTTTGCTGTGGTTCATTTAAAGATGTGTTAATGTTATTACTCACTGGCAGTGAAACTACCAGTGCCATAGATACTCCTATATTTTGAGGAGTAATAAAGAAACAGCCAATAAGAAGAGATAGCTGGCTTTTTCAATATGGTGCAACTGAAAATAGTGCTTTCAGATAGGTGGATGCTGGACATTTAATGCTACAAACATACACATTATTCAACCCACATTTTCAACCCAGCTCACTGTTAATGAAATGAACTCCCAAACGGCAGTTAGCAATAAGCTTAGTACTGACTTCTCATAAGAGGAGAACAAATATAAAAAATTAATCAAGAACACAAATTTTTCACAAAGATATCTGGCAGATTTTAACATGTTATGTAGCTGGGATGCTTAACCGTTGACCTGTGAATTAACGTTATTTTAAAAACAGCACTGGGAATGACAATTTTAGAAACCTGCAATTTCAGTGGCAGAGCAGAACTGGAGGCAGTTCTAACCCTCTGCTTCCCAACTTTGTTTATCTCCAACAGGTAACCAGGTTATAAGAGTTTTCACTGGGGCAAGAGAGGTGGTGTTAAAAGCCTTTCCAAGCAGCTAGACAGGCAATGGAGTATTACTGAAGCAAATTACAGATAGGATTTGCAGGAGCATCTGGTGACTGAGCTGCATCAGTGCTATTGCAAGCTGATGCGATTAGTCTTCCTTAATCAAATGGGCACTTTTGCAAATCCCACTGTCTCTGAGTAAAGACTGTGTATCTGTGAACTTCTATAGATAGATTAGTAGAAAGGATGGCAATGCTTCAATATAACCTTATTACTAGGTGTGCTCAAGCCAAATTTCTACCTCTCATTGCAGTGCTGCCCAATTATAAACATCAGCATTTTTATGTCTTGCTTGAAGCATTAGGAATTGACCTCTCTGGACATTAAGACAGGGAGCATTAGACTGTCTCAAAATGTTTAATTTTCTAACAGACGTTTATTACTAGTAGGATCTTAGAGGCTGGCCATCAGGCAATTACTCACTAGAGCTATACTTCTGCATGTTTTGCTCTTCTGACTGATTTCCCAAGCACTTTATCATCAGAGTTGTTCCAAGAACAATGTCGAATTGTCTTGAAAGTCAAGCTGTGTTCAGTACAGAGTAGGAGGGAATAGAATGCAGTCATTTATTACTAGAGTACATTACAGAATTTATCTGGTAGCATTGTTTACCAGATCTAATTTTTATACTTAGAAGAAATAGAGTAATTTAAAAAAAACTGGGAACTTTTTGCTCAACAGTTTATAATTTTAAGCATTATATCTGACATTTTTCTTACTGCAAGGTAAAGGAAATGAAAATTGTATGTCTCTTTTAATGCTGTTATGCAAATTTGTATTTATGCTTTATATATTTTCAAAACATTATATAGATCAAGCAATATGTGACCACTCATTATCCACGCTATTGATAAATTAACTGGAAAGATGAACAGACATTTCAAAAAGAACCAAGGAGAATGATCAGATTCAAGAACTGGTGTAGACAACCAGGCCCCTGCAGACCTCCTTATGATCAGTAGAAGTGCAAGGGGAAAATTTTAAAGAAAAGCTTATTAAAATGAAGGATATATTGTAAAGAAAACTTTCACAAATGTTCCCTATTTCCTTCTTACGGGTACTGGCATATGAGGGGAAGAATTAAGACTACGGATTTCATTCATTATGTTTCTGTAGCGAAATATTTATGATTTCACCAAATCTGTTGTGAGGTTAAAGTTGTTTAAATAAGTAAATAAACCTTTTCTAGCAGGAAAGCCCTACTTGATCAGATGATGGGTTCATCTAGCCCAGTATCCTGTCTCTACAAGTGCCATAAATAGGTGCTAGAGAAAAGGAAAAAAAAATGTCAGATGTATATAATGCTTTTTCCCAATAGTTTCTCAGCTAGCAACTATTTTTTGCTCACGGACCTGCTGCATTGTTGTGATTTCTGCATGTTCTGTAACCCCCATGAGCTTTCCTCCATAAACTGCTTATTTCATGCAAACTTTCAGCATCCTTAACATCCTTCTCCCTGCTGCAGGGGAAATCAGTTCCTTCTGTTTTGAACACGACTCCTTATACTTTCCCATGATGTTTATTACTGAGAGAGGCAGTGAATAGTCAATTCCCATCCATCCTTTTCATACCAGTCATGGTTTTTAAGATACATTCTTAATTTCCCCCCCCCCCCCCACTTCAAATTTTTAATACAACTCTTCCCC